TTGTTTAATAGGTTATGATATGATGTAACGCCACTAAGAACTTGATGTGTGTTTTGGGTTAACGCCTTAGGGTGTTAAAAGGGAATATGCCCTCTATATGTTGATGCTAGATTCGAGTTATTGTGAGGAGGTCAAGAGGGGTCATGTTTTAGTTTACTGGCCTTAGGAAGACAAAAAGGTGATTCTGCAGAGTGCGTGACGTCCAACCTATAGAAATGTATATGAGACTTTTTAAGGCCCAGTACGAGATGATATACCTATGACCATGCCTCCCACGACAATAATTCTAGATGTCAAGCATGCCTCCATGGAGACCACGTAGTAGGCATAGACAGTATAGAGTTGTCTTGGTGCAAACCACATAGTAGACCCAAATAATATTCATTCTTACAAGTAAGGGCGGCCACGGTAGAAATTAAGCAACTCTCAAGCAAACCATTTTCACGAGTGAGTTTGGTTAAGTTGGTAGTCAAGAAATAAGATTCACTAACAGAGAGAGTGAAGCTATGGAGGCCATGGCCAAGGTTGGTTGGAGTCTTCATAAGATAAATTCAGGTTTATGGACTTTCATAAGTGAGATGTACGCTTTTATGAAACTAATGAGTCACGGGGTTTAGGATATTCCTACTAAAGATCACCTAATAGGATGACAAGTCGCTTTGGACCTTGGTGGAGAGGACCAAGTTCAAAAGCAGTACGTGGTTATCAGGACCATGAAATTGTGTTGTAACCTATCCTCTGGTCAGGGCATGCATTCTCACAAGGTGTAAGACGTTAAACTGTCGAGATAGTCTAGTGAACCCTAGGGGTGAGAATAGCAAGAAAAAAAAAATAAAGAGCTATGGCTAGGCCTTCGTTGTCTGAAGGAAGAAAGTCCAGATGGGCGATAGTAAGAACCAACATTTGTGTTAGGTTATCTGGATTACAAAGAGTAGAACTCCAGTTTCACCCATGAGTGTAATGCCAGACTTGTGAAGCATTGTCAAGTAGAGGTGGAACTTCCAAATACCGTGATTTTGAAAATTACCTGAAGGATAGTGACGTGGTGACTTGTAAACAAGTAAGACTAGCAGAGACATGATATGTCTTAGAGAAGACACTAGACGTAGCACCCTAGAAGTTCGAGGGAGGCTAGCTACCATACAAGAGTTTTCAGAGAGTTCCCTAAGATCTAGTACAAGAACTTGAAAGGTTCACGTGCTTGAAAAAGAGCCAGTGATGAGATATCACTATGAGAGAAAATGTGTCTAGCTCAATCATAAAAGATACGATAGGGGGTTAACCTAGGTGAACGTAGAGAACTTATGTAAGGATCTTTACTTCCAAAAGAATCCGTACTTGGCCTAGATGAGTATTAGTACTCAAGCGAGTTACGTAATAGAACGTCTCGCTAAGAAGAAAGTTGGGCAAATGAGATGACACTACGAGGCTATTTTGGAGTAGTAAAGATCGTCTTGATAAGGTAAGGATGTCACCAGACGTGAATTAGAGAGGAATACATACGTAAAGCAATCTTTAGAAGCCGCAATGAACATTATGAGTTCATAGTCATGTCTTTGGGTTTAATTAACGCTCTCGTAATATTCATGGAGTTGATAAACAAATGAGGAATTCTGGATTATGTTCATTAACAACATTCTGGAGTGTTCTAAGTCTGAAGTGGGGCACGAGGAACACTTGAAGAAAGTTTTAATTCTACTTAGAACTTACCTATTATATGCTAGATTCACTAAGTACGAATTATGACTGCAAGAGGTGGCCTTCCTTGGACACGTGGTATCCAGGCAGGGAATAACTGTGGACCCTGCTAAGACCAAAGCAAAGCATGAAGATTGCCTGCAAATGGTTTTGACTTTTTTGAGAATGCCTCTAGTGTATATCAACTTTTCTAAATGTGAATTCTGGCTATGAGAAGTAGCATTTTTATGACATGTGGTCTCAAGAGGGGAAATTTTTGTGGATCTAGCTAAGGTTGAAGCTGTCATGTGGTGGCCAAGGCCGAGAACTGTGATAGAGGTAAGAGGTTTTTTTGGCTTGATTGGCTACTACATGAGATTTGTCCTAGACTTTTTGAAAATTTCGGTCGCGAAGATTCATTTGACAACAAAAAAAAAAAAAAAAAAAAAAAAAAAGAAAAAAAAGAAAGAAAATTTTGTGTGGACTTCCAAGAGTTGAAAAAGAAGGTGACTGCACCAGTCTTCGTAGTGTATAGTGACGCCTCACCTAAGGGCTTGAGTTGTGTGCTTATGTAGAATGAGTAATTAATTGCGTTCGTTTCTCTAGACAGTTGAAGGAATATGAGTGGAATTATCCTACCGATGTCTTGGAGCTAGGTGTCATGGTGTTCGCAGAGAAGTCATGGTGGCATTATCGGTATGGTGAGACTAAGATGAGATCCTATATCATCCTGGCAAAGGAGGTGGCTTGAGCTAGTGAAAGACTACGATGTTGAGATCCTATATCATCCTGGCAAGGCTAATGTGGTAGTTGATATCTTGAGTAGAAAGACAGCCCACATCTCTGCATTGTTCACTCAACAGGGCCAGCTTCAAGAGGAGATCCTAAGAGCTGAGATTGATTTAATAGTTCAGAATATCACTGCACAACTAGCTCAGTTGACAGTACCGTCCACACTTCATAAATGCATCATTGATACAAAGTCTATAGATGCCCATCCACAAAGTTTGTGACACCCAAGAGGCTAAGATAGCTCAGGGGTTCTTAATTTCATATGAATGCGGGCTTTTGTGGCAGGCATACTTGTATGTACCTAGGAATAAGGAAATCCTTAAGGAGGTTATGCCTGATGCACATGGCACGTCCTACACATTTTACCCTGGTAGTACAAAAATGTATCAGGACCTGAAGAACAGTTAATGGTGGCTAGGAATGAAAAAAAGACGTCACATACTTTGTGTGACATTGTCCCCAAGCCCCAAGACAACGCCCTGCAGGGATGCTGCAACCCTTAAACATACCCAGTGGAAATGAGAGGAAGTGAATATGAATTTCATATTCGATCTACCTTAGACTCGACGTGGTTTTGATGTGATCTGAGTCATTGTTGAAAGACACAAAAAAAATAGCTCACTTCATCCCGATTAAGAGCACTTTTCGAGTGGATCAATTGGCTTAGTGAATGTCTAACGTCTGAGTGGGTGAAAGCCCCAAGACAACGCCCTGCAGGGATGCTGCAACCCTTAATCATACCTAGTGGAAGTGAGAGGAAGTGAATATGAATTTCATATCCGATCTACCTTAGACTCAACGTGGTTTTCATGTGATCTGAGTCATTGTTGAAAGACACAAAAAAATAGCTCACTTCATCCCGGTTAAGAGCACTTTTCGAGTGGATCAATTGGCTCAGTTGTATGTTTGAGAAATAGTTCGGTTGTATGGGGAGCCTACTCCCATTGTGTTTGTTCAGGATGCTAGGTTTACCTTTCATTTTTTTTTTTTTTTTGAAGGTTTTGCAGAAAGCCTCGAGTACCCAACCTCGTCTCAATACAACTATCCATCATCAGACAGATGGAAAGATTGAATCAAGTATTAGAGGACATGCTCAATGCGTGTGTAATGGATTTCGTTGATGATGGGATGACCACCTATCGCTCATGGAAGTTACTTATTGCAACAGTTATCAAGCAAAAATTCATATGGCTCTGTTGAGGTTCTATATGGGAAGAGGTGTTGGACACAAGTGTTTTAGGAAGAGGATGAAGCCCAACAACTTATGGGACCAAAATTAGTTCAGGTTACCAACACGACAGTCCAGAAAATCGAATCATGGTTACTTACTGCACAGAGCTAGCAAAAGAGTTACACTGACACTTGAAGAAAGGATCTCGAGTTTGTAGTGAGCAAACATGTTTTTCTATAGGTAACGACCATGAAAGAGGTGTTAAGGTTCGGGAAAAGGGGTAAGCTTAGCCTCAGTTCATAGGTCCCTTCAAAATCCTTGAGAGGATTGGGGTTGTAGCGTACAGGTTGGCGTGACCACCCACTCTTGTCGCTGTGCATAACGTTTTTCATTTATCTATGTTGAGAAAGTACACGCCAGACCCCACGCACATTAATGAGCACGAAGCACTTCCGCTTCGTGAGGATCTATCTTACGAGGAGGCCCCAATCAAAATTATATGTCGAGATGTCAAGCGATTGCGAAACAAGGAGATTCTCCTTGTCAAAGTCTTGTGGGGTAATCATCTTGATAGCAAGGCTACCAGGGAGCGGGAGGATGACGTTAGGAAGTCTTACCCTGAACTTTTTAAGGAACAACTAACTTTCGGGGACGAAAGTTCCTAAGTAGAGGAGAATTTGCAACACCCCGGGCCCAACAGGTACAGTTTGCTCTATCCTTGGGACTAGCACCTTCTTAACAATTGTGAGTTTCTATATTTTATTAGAGAACTTAGAGTGTGATCTTCATATCAATGCAGAAGAAAGAAATGCTCAAGATGCATCAAGGAACTTGGGAAAAAATTAAAAAAAAAAAAAATGGTAATGTAATCGAAATTTGGGTCAAAGTCAATTGGGGGTAAAAAGGTAAATTTTCCCCACACATACCACCTTGAGGACAGACCTGGAAGAAAGGAAAAAGAAAAGGAAAGAAAAAAATTATAGAGAGAGAAATAGAAAAGAATAGTTAGGTTTTTTTTTTTTTAAGAAGAGGAAGAAGGAGGGAGAAACACCTTAAACTTGAACTGAAGTATCTCAATCTTAGGTCTCCTACTAGAGCTACTTAGAATATCAAGAGAAGTGGTCTGAGCATTGGATCGTTCGTTTCTGGCAAGAAACGGGCAAGAACACGAGGTAAGTCCGCGACCTCTCTTGTTTCAAGATTTCACCATAGATCTGGGAGTTTTAGATGATTTAATCCTAAATAATCTAGTTGCAACACTTTAGGTGAGAAGTTTCGTAAGTTTTCTGAGGAAACGCGGCAAAAAATCGCGTCGAAAAGCAAAATCGTGAAACTGTCCTACTTCGGTAAGAAACTGAATTTTTTTCGCTTTTCGACTTCATTTATTAAGCTCTATAAAAAAAAATACAATAAAAATATATTTAGATAGGTGGACTTGTGATCTTGAATTCTTGTGAAGGAATCGATTTAATTCGAGTTACGGTTTGGAAGATAGAAAAATCCAAAATAAATAGGTTGATATAGAATTTGACCGAAATCTGAAAAATTGCAGAGATGAGAGGAAGAAGAAGAACGGAGGGCTCCTAAATAATATAGTTGCAACACTTTAGGTGAGAAGTTTCGTAAGTTTTCTGAGGAAACGCGGCAAAAAATCGCGTCGAAAAACAAAATCGTGAAACTGTCCTACTTCGGTAAGAAACTGAATTTTTTTCGCTTTTCGACTTCATTTATTAAGCTCTATAAAAAAAAAAAATACAATAAAAATATATTTAGATAGGTGGACTTGTGATCTTGAATTCTTGTGAAGGAATCAATTTAATTCGAGTTACGGTTTGGAAGATAGAAAAATCCAAAATAAATAGGTTGATATAGAATTTGACCGAAATCTGAAAAATAGCAGAGATGAGAGGAAGAAGAAGAACGGAGGGGGAAGCGTGTCAGGAAGGGAGAGGGCCGCGAGTTGCTAGGAAAATGGGACACGTGTGAGACGTGGAATTGCGGAGGAAAATTATGAAAAATACTGCGTTAGATAGGGCTTGAAGATCGGCGCCCGCCACCAGATCCGTGAACCCGCGTGTTACCCGAGCTCGTCAGCCGACCCGTTCCGTATTTGCCATGCGTTAGTGTGGGAAAATTCGTAGGAACCCACATTCAAACGCACGCCTTACCTCTCAGTGGACCAATCGGCTCTCGCCACGTGGCGACACACTAGTACGCGCTCCATGCCCTCAGTGCATCTGAACGTGCGCGTCTGTGCACATGGGGATTCCCTCTGGCACGTGCGGCGCGTGAAACAGCCTGTGAGACTATTTTTATCCCGATTTGACTTCCGTTCGACTATTTTTCATCTCGATTTTGATACTGATCTAAGTCTAACTTGATTTAGGACCTATCCGCGAACTTTCAAGAGATTTGGAGCTCTTAATTAGCCAGAAAATAAGCTTCAAAATGCACGTCCTGTAAGTAACCATACGGATTTAGGAAGTAATACTTGTAGGATGCGCTTGGTTTTGCATGAATGCTAGAACAAATTATCCCTCGGTGGTTAGATCTAATGATCCTCTATACTTACAAAGTCTAATATATATATGTTGGACTTGCTGCCTTTATGAGATTTCGTACTCGATGTTTGTATGCTTGTTGGACTATCTTTCTACTGCTTTAATCTATTCATACTATGCTGGTGGACTGGAGGATTTGTGTATCTGCACTCTGGGTGTTGATGGATGATATTGCCCCATTGAGCTTGTATGGTTGTATGTGTAGTTAATCATACATAAACTCCTTTTGAATGATTGTGTGAACTTATGATATGATTGATAAGCTATAGTGTTGTGATATGCCTAGGGTGAACTCCTGTAGGGATTGAGTTGGGTTTAGTTAGGGGACCCTCTTGATGTTACAGTCTATGGTGTCGTGAGCGACGCTTAGAGGGAAAGACCCTTTAACCCTGGACTGTTATGGACTTGGAAGTCATGATTGAGTGAATCTGGAAGCCAGGGCCCCTTACTCAATAGTTTTCACTACCCTTGAGATATAGGGAACCACATTAGGCCCTCGAAGTGTAGAGAGATGACCTCTTAGGTGACAGTATCTGGTATAACGTTCGAGTATGCTCCGCTTCCTTTCCTACTCCAGTGTTGAACCGTTGAGCTAGGCGAGATGCCAGTTAGGATGATGTTACTCTTCTCTTCCTACTTCGGTGTGGTACCGTTGAGCTAGGTGAGACGCCAATTATTGAGGTGTTACTCTTCCCTTCCTACTCCATTGTGGTACTATTGAGCTTGGCGAGACGCCTGTTAGGGAAGTGTTACTCAGTGGTAGATCGACTACACTGCATGGGGATCCGTCTCAAGGTCAGATGTTGATCACGTGAGTGGGTCAAGGTCGCCTGCATGATGGGTCTGTCCTGTGGAAGGATATTGACCATGCAGTGACTAATTCTAACTGGGTTGTACGAGTGGTACATGTAGTTATGAGGGAGTACCTCATCCTCAAACGTTGAATACCGCTTCAAAGGTTAAGTTCTTCTGCCTTGAATTGTGTACTGAGAGTACTGAGACTCTAGGGTCTAGAGTATAGTTGGTGATTCTCTCCTTAACTTGGATGCGATTAAGAGTCTATAAGAGGTTGCTTACTGAGTATATTTTTATACTCACCCCGTTTCCCTTTCTTTTTTTTTTTCAAGTACCAGTCGAGATGGGGAGTTGTTTGAGAGCTACATTGTCACAAAGGGGTGTCGTTCCGGAGAGTCAGTCCCTTGTCGGTCTTTTAGAGTCTTTTGCATTTTTCTTTCATAATTGTATTTCTCGTTTGTAATATTTAACTTTAATTTTGTATTTAATTCTAGTGTCATCGACTCCTTTTTCTTGATTTAAATTTTATCAGATTTTCATTACCTATTTTATCTTCTTTTCAATTTTATTTGTTTTCAATTTTGTATTTTAGTCACCGATCGGTTTTTCGAAGCCTCGAAAATTGGGTCATGATAGATTGGTATCAGAGTAGTCGGGTTTTTAATTTTGTAGACTTTTCCTAGGATAGAGAGTCGTACACCTCTGTGACTCAGCTCAAGGACATGCCTCGCCGCGACCAAGTACGCAGTCTAACCTTGTTTAGTGGGTGATGATATGATGTAACGCCACTAAAAACTTGATGTACGTTTTGGGTTAACACATTAGGGTGTTAAAAGTGAAAATTCCCTATATGTTGATGCTAGATTCGAGTTATTGTGAGGAGGCCGAGAGGGGTCATGTTTTTGTTTACTGGCCTTAGGAAGACAGAAAGGTGACAACGCAGAGTGCGTGACGTCCAACCCATAAAACTGTACATGAGACTTTTTAAGGCCCAGTACGAGATGATATACCTATGACCACACCTCCCACAACCATAATTCTAGATGTCAAGCATAACTTCCTTGCAGATTCACAAAGAACGAATTATGACTGCAAGAGGTGACCTTCCTTGGACACGTGGTATCTAGGCAGGGAATAACTGTGGACCTTGCTAAGACCAAAGTAGAGCATGAAGATCGCCTGCAAATGGCTTTGACTGTTTTGAGAATGTGTCAACGTTTCTAAGTGTGAATTTTGGCTTTGAGAAGTAGCATTTTTATGACATGTTGTCTCAAGAGGGGAAATTATCATGAATCCAACTAAGGTTGACGCTGTCATGTGGGTGCCAAGGCCGACAACTAGAGGTAAGAGGCTTTTTGGGCTTGATTGGCTACTACATGAGATTTTTCTAAGACTACTCGAAAATGTCGGTTGCGATAACTCAGTTGACAAAAAAAAAAAAAAAGAAAAATAAAAACCTTGTGTGGACTTGAGATTGTGAAGAGAGCTTCCCAGAGTTTAAAAAGAAGTTGGTGACTGCACCATTCTTTGTAGCGTATAGTGACGCCTCAGCTAAGGGCTTGAGTTGAGTGCTTATGCAGAATGAGAAATTAATTACGTTCCTTTCTCTAGATATTTAAAGGAATATGAGTGGAATTATCCTACTGATGACAAAGAGCTAGCGGTCATGGTGTTCGCACAAAAGTCATGGCAGCATTATCGGTATGGTGAGACTAAGTGTACACTGACCACAAGAACCTTAAATATTTTCTTTTCACCCAAAAGGAGTTGAATATGAGACAAAGGAGGTGGCTCAAGCTAGTGAAAGACTACAATGTTGAGATCCTATATCATCCTAGCAAGGCTAATGTGGTAGCTGATACCTTGAGTAGGAAGACAGCCGACACCTCTGCATTGGTCACTCAACAGAGCAAGCTTTAAGAGGAGATCCAAAGAGCTAAGATTGATTTATTAGTTAAGAACATCACTGCATAACTCGCTTAGTTGACAGTACAGCCAACACTTCGTAAATGCATCATTGATGTAAAGTCTATAGATGCCCAGCTCCACAAAGTTTGTGACACCCAAGAGGCTAAGATATCTCAGGAGTTCTTAATTTCATCTGAATGCAGGCTTTTGTGGCAGGGATACTTGTGTGTACCTAGGGATAAGGAAATCCTTAAGGAGATTATGCCTGAAGCATACGACACGTTCTACACATTTCACCCTAGTAGTACAAAAATGGATCAGGACCTGTATAACAGTTAATGGTGGCTAGGAATGAAAAAAAGACATCAAAGATTTTGTGTGACATTGTCTAACGTCTCAGTGGGTGAAAGCCCCAAGACAACGCCCTACAGGGATCCTACAACCCGTAAACATACCCAGTGGAAGTGAGAGGAAGTGAGTATGAATCTCATATCCGATCTACCTAAGACTCGACGTGGTTTTTTTTTTTTTAAAGGTTTGCAGAAAGCCTCGAGCACCCAACCTCATCTCAATACAGCAATCCATCATCAGACAGATGGACAGATGGAAAGGTTGAATCAAGTATTAGAGGACATGCACAAGGCTTGTGTGATGGATTTCGGGGGTTCATGGGATGACCACTGATCCCTCATGGAAGTTGCTCATAGCAACCGTTATCAAGCAAAAACTCATATGGCTCCATTGAGGTCTTATATGGGAAGAGGTGTCGGACACCAGTGTTTTAGGAAGAGGATGAAACCCAATAACTTATGGGACCGAAATTAGTTCAGGTTACCAACGCGACAGTCCAGAAAATTGGATCATGGATACTTACTGCATAGAGCCAGCAAAAGAGTTACGTTGACACTCGAAGAAAGGATCTCGAGTCTGCAGTGGGCGAACATGTTTTCCTGTACGTAACGCCCATGAGAGAGGTGTTAAGGTTCGGGAAAAGGGGTAACGCTTAGCCTGGTTTATAGGTCCGTTCGAAATCCTTGAGAGGATTGGTGCTGTAGCGTACAGGTTGGCGTGACCACCCCCTCTTGCCGCTGTGCATAATGTTTTTCATGTATCTATGTTTTTCATGTATTTAAAACTGAGTTTGTTTGATAATTGTAAATATTTACTTGCCATTTGCGATCTGGTAAATGCCAATTTTCCCTACAGCTTGTCCGTTTGATCCTGCAAAACATGTATAGCGCTCTTCTGCTGAGAAATGCCCTCCTTTTGTCTTGGCCTTGTGGTCCCAAACCGAGACATATGGTTTTGGTACAGAAAAGAAATGTCACCAAGGGGCAGGTAATTTGCACGGCAGTATTATACAGAAATGGCGCAATTCTGTCCCACTCGAAAAAGTGATTAGCCACCACTCGAAAAAGTCGATTCGCCACCACTTCAAAAAGAGGATACGGTACCTGCTAAAGTATTCCCGATACACCACCACTACAAATGGGAGTACTTTTTCTATAAAGCCCTATCCTAAAGCAAGAATCTGTCATTGTGAAGTCAGCTATGATGTAGAGTAACCCGAAGGTCAAGACGAAGCCTCAGACGTCATGTAGCCGACTCCAACGGATTGGTGTGGTATATCACCCGTTTATCTTCGCATTCTCAGCCATGGTATTGACTGCATAAGGCTTCCGGCAAGAATTACAGCGCCTGTTCAATTTGTGTGCAGGTGTCTCAACCATGTGAAGATCCAGTCTCCTGTGTTAATATTAATGCTTGATTCTAAAACAAACAATAAGATAACACCCAAGCTACAAGTCAGGAACGAAGTGCTCGACCGGAAGGGAGAGAGTTGAAGACGCTCGACCAATGGGACAGGAACGAACGCACATCCTACTTCCATTCTTTTTGAAGCTCACACCACGGGAAAGGTTGTTTTTGGTCCGCTGTTTCCAATAAGTCTTGAAGAAGGAAGATGTGGCACAATTCGTTTTGTTAAAAAGTCCTTATTTCATGCCGTTCGTGTTTTCTAATACCCTTAATATAGGGTAGGGCATGCAAGATGCAAATTGGTATGGAATATGGTGAATAAGCGATCTTAGCATGGTTTTGCCCAGAAAGAAAAGCATGCATTGGCAAACAGAATTACAAAGAGTAGGGAAAGGAAGTGGAAGACTAAGAAAAGTAGGAAATCAAAGTCACTTCATTCTGCCAAAGGAAAGTCAGAACGGAACTGCAAATAGCGAGAGAAACCCTAGCAAACTATCTTTCCCTTGCTTGCTGGTGTCAGGTTTTCGGGAATTGAATCAATAGTCGACGGTTAGAGTCTTCATTTTTTTAAAATATTCAAATTTAATTTTGTTGATGTTTAATAATTTGGATTTTGGTTCATTATATAGCAAAAAAATAAATAAATAAATACTTGTTTTGAACCCGCTGTTAAAGCAGTTTGAGAAGGTGATTTAAGGTTAATATCTATTATAAAAATTAATTTCTATGAACGTTTTGAGGTTGGATATCATATTTGTTGCATAGTTGTAAATATCATTTCTTTTTTATTTGCTATTTTGTGTGGAGATGGAAAAACAAAGTAGGGTTAAACACAAACTAGACAGTTGAATTTTCTATATTTTCTCCTTAATTACTAGAGTTATAAATGGTTCTTTTAACTATGTTTATCAATTTTTTATTTAGGTTAAACGAGAAAAAAAATAGATATGTTAATAAGAAGGAGAGAATCAAAACAAAATCAAAATTTGGGGATATGTGTAATTCCTTGCTAAATAAAGCTTAACCTAACAAACAAACACTCTTAATATCCTTTCAATTTTTTTTACCTACAAATCTATCTTTAAAAGTTGTTAAAAAGTATCTTTGTTTTAGTGCAATCATCATAAATATAAATATATATATATAGTTTAAAACCATCCAAATGAAACACACAAATTCTAAGTTGATAAAAAAGGAAGGCTATAAATAATCTCTATATGATTTTATTGTTTACTTTTGCATCAACTTCTAACGTTTTCACTTCTTTTGCAATGCAATATCCACATTCTCAATGGAAAGTGACGATTCTTAATTATCAAGACGTACCTTTACTAGCCCATTGCAAATCGAAAAACGACGATTTAGGTAAATAAGGGTGTTGCACTATGACAAATATTCAATGAGACCATATTGTTTTATGTATATCTCAATTTCAAGGATTCAATTACAAGTTATTTTTTTGTTAATAAATATGTGGCGTGGAGAGGTTGAATGATACTTAACCTCTTCATGGATGGGTATATGGTGTCTCAACTAGTTGAATTCCGCACAAATTGGTATTTAAGAATTTTTATTTAATTGAACGTTTGACTGTGTAATTGTATAGGCTGTTATAGTTCTAATTTTTTTTCATTATTTCAATTGAATTTGTGCCCATCTAACATAACTTTTTGATATAGGGGAGCATATTCTTCAGTTCAAGCAGGAATACAGTTGGGAGTTCAAAGAGAATGTTTTGCAGACAACATTGTTTTGGTGCAACTTTAACAGCAATTATGGGAAGCTTTCGTTCGAGGTTTTTTGGCCAGAGAAGGGAATTTGGCTTGAAGAACGATGCAACTATTCCCACTGCATTTGGCGTGCAGATAAAAAGGGTTTTTCTTTATATAATAGCAAAATAAAGGTATTCGAACTCATTCATCCATGGAGTCCTTAGACAAATCCATCACCTTTGCCTTCCTTCACATCAAATCTTTTCTTTTCTACGTAAGTTGTGTGCTTGCATAGAACTACTGTTACAAAATGTCTGTTAATCATTTAAGTTCTAAAATATATGGAAACATTTAATATATAAATGAGTACATCTCAATAAAATATAAAGTTGTTATTGAATAATAAAATATTGACTACAGCCTTAATATCAAAGCCTAGATTTTATAGAAAATTTTCAAGCACAAAAATGAAATAAATTTGAAAGTTATACACCATTCTCGAGAATTAAACAATATTAGATTCTGTAAAGGCCAAAAAAAAAAACAACATGGTCGCTGGAAAACACACGTTCACACCTCATGGCGCCACATGTCGCACCTGCAGCCAGAAAATCCATCTCTTTGGCTCGCTAGAGGATATTTTGCCCAATTTTTATCGTTCCAACTATCCTAAAGCTGAAATTGAACTTGTTATGGAAATTAAATTCAGTATAAGGTTCACTTTCTCGATTTATGTTAAACAGAGTTAAGAAATTGTAGTTTCTAACAAAACAAGATGGACATTCTAATAGGAAATAACAACAAATAATGCCAAAAGAAATTTCGAGGGATGAAAAGCAAACGTACTTGAATTTATGGAGAAAGTCGGCGCTAAGGCCAACCAAGTAAGTGGCCTTACTGTCGGATAGGTTGAATGACTTGTTTAATGTATGACGACGACACGTGCCTAGTAGCCCCTGCATGTGTCATTTATTCTTTATTTTTATGATGTGTGACTATATTGTATGATGATGATGAACGATGTATGATGATGTTATTCTGTGATTGGATGTCTATACAATGTTGTATGATATTTATGATAGGACATATGTTTGACATTATGAGATATATGATATGATAGGATTGACAAGCAACATGATGAATTGAAATAATGAACAAACCCGATATTCACATGAAAAGTTATGGTAGAATGATATGATATACAAGAAAACTCTAGAGAGGTTTGTTGGGTTTTATGTCCTAAAACTCATAGTTTGTAAATAAAAACATATTCTATTTTCAATAAAATTATTATTGATGTTTATTCACTAAAGATTTTTATTGAATAAAGTGAATTATATGATTATTAATCTAAATTCAATAATCTAAGAACACTCTGACTATAGTATGATTACTTGAATTATATGTTGAGATAGAAGAGTGGATCAAGTTCAAGTATATAGTCAAAATGATCTATAGTACAGGGATAAGGCTGAGTACTTGGATCAAGTTCAAGTATATAGTCAAAATGATCTATAGTACAGTGACAAGGCTAAGTACCTTATCCTGGGGACACTATGGATGAGGCCCACTTTTCTATATGACATAATTTAGTACAGGGATAAGGTTGAGTACCTTATCCTAGGGACACTATGGATGTGGCCCGCTTTTCTATATGACATAAACAATTATGGATGCGGCCCACTTTTCTATATGACATAAACAATGTGATCACTAAATTGTACATGTGGAGACATGTGTGTGGGGGTGTCCTATGCAATGAGTATTGCATAAGATCGAACCATGAAGAAAATCACTCACTTTATAATGTCGTTTACTGTTGAGATTGATTTTCTTTTCATTCAACGACTTAGGTAACTTGATCGTAATCCTGAGCTAGCCATGAACTCCTGTTTATTCGGAATTACCCTTAGACTTGCATGGGTGAGAGTGTCTCGAGTTCGTCGACTCAATAGGCCTCCCAATTCAGGGGTAAGACTGGGTGAATGGCTGGGGACGTGGGGTGCAAGATGGAATTCACTCCTACCTACTTTTAGGGATAGAAGAGAGGTAGTTCCCTTAAGTACTAACTCTAGGTCTTGAACATGGGGCCCCACCGTCTCATTGGCTTGAGAGGGATTTTGTTTACTAGTTGAACCACAAACCAATTGTTCATTAGAGGATCAATGGGACATAAGGAACAAGAAGTAACTTCAGGGGTAAAACGATAAATTGACCCATCTCTAGTTATGAACAACCTGTGAAGGATCAACTTACTAATTATGGTTATATCAAATGGACAGAAATAATCCATAGTGAGGGGAGTGCAACTACTAGGCTATGGTGGAGTGTCCTAGTAGTTAACGAATGTTGGTTAACAAGGTTAATGAGTTTAACCGGTTAATCTTGGATCGTTGGAGCCCATGAAATATAGGTCCATTAGGTTCCTCTACTACCTCATATCGGACTAAACCATAGAATAGTGTGACGAGTGAGTTCAAAGTGTTCGAGTTCAAATTAGGGAATATGCGCTACATATATACGATATATTTAACCATATTTTTGTTTTATTTACGAATTAAACAAAAAAAGAGAATTTGAGATATTTAAATAAGATTTAAATATTTTAATCAAATATATGTCAAATTAATTGGGATTGACATTTAAATATTTAAATATTTTAATCAAATATACGTCGGAATTAATTGGGATATGCATTTGAATTAATATTAAATATTAATTAAATAGTTTAATTAATCATTTAATATTACTTTAATTTGAAATTAATTGTTGAATTAAAATAAAGAAAGTCAAAATGTTGACTTCATTTCATGGAAAAATCCGTATTTCAGTTAGTGGAATTTTGAGGTGTCAAAATTTGGTTTAACCAAACTTGCATGCTTGCCAAATAAACCCCACAAATTTGAGAAGAATTTTGAGGGTCAAAATTTGGTTAACTCAAACTTGTATGCTTGCTACATCATCCTAAACATTTAAGTAG